GAAAGTTCTAGGGGTCCAGTGGTGTGGGGCATGTTGAGATATCCCTTCTACAGTAAAGGATAAGTTGTTGCATGTGGCCCCTCCTACAACCAAGAAAGACGCATGATGCCCAGTGGGCTTCTTTGGATTTCTGAGGCAACACATGCTTCATGTGGGTGTGTTACTCCAGCCCATTTACTGAGTGACCCAAAAAGCTGCTGCTTTTGTGTAGAGCCCAGAAGAAGAGACGGATCTGCAACAGGTCCAGGCTGCGGGGCACGCTGCTCTGCCATTTGTGCAGATGGCCCAGCAGGTCCAATGGTGCTTGAAGTGTCAGTGGCAGATAGAGATGCTGTTTGGAGCCGATGGCAGGCCTCTCTAGGTGAATCCAGTGCAGGCCTTTAGGATTTTGGAGCAAGACCCTGCCATCATCCACAGATAACCACTCTCCTTTTGAGAAACAGCTCTTGGCCTGCTTCTGGGCCTCAGTAGAGGCTGAACGCTTGACCATGGGCCATCAAGTTACTATAGGACCTGAGCTGCCCATGATGAACTGGGTGTTATCTGGCCCACTAAGCCATAAAGTTGGGTGTGCACAGCAACACTCCATCATCAAATGGAAGTGGTATATATGTGATCGGGCCTAAGCAGGCCCTGAAGGCACAAGTGAGTTACGTGAAGAAGTGGCCCAAATGCCCATGGCCCCCACTCTTCCTACTCTGCCTTCTCCCTCCCAGCCTGACCTCGTGAGGAGTTCCCTACCATCAGTTGACGGAAGAAGAGAAGACTAGGGCCTGGTTTATGGATGGTGCTGCGTGATATGCAGGCACCCCAGGAAGGTGGACAGCTGCAGCTTTACAACCCCTCTGAGCTATCCCTGAAGGACAGTGTGAAGGGAAATCCTCCCGGCGGGCGCAGCTGGGAGCAGCGCTCCTGGTTGTTCACTTTGCTTGGAAGGAGAAGTAGCCATATATACATATAATGGATTCATGGGCTGTGGCCAATGGTTTGGCTGAATGGTCAGGCACTTGGAAGGAACACGATCAGAAAACTGGTGGCAGAAATTTGGAGAAGAGATGTATAGATTGACCTCTCTGAATGGGCAAAACACAGAAAGATTTTTGCATCCCATGTGAGTGTTCACCAAAGGGAGACCTCAGCAGAGGAGGATTTTAATAATCAGGTGGATAGGGTGACCCATTCTGTGGAAACCAGTCAGCCTCCTTCCCCAGCCACCCTGTCATGCCCCAATGGGTTCATGAACAAAGTGGCCATGGTGGCGGGGGTGGAGGTTATGCATGGGTCAGCAACATGGACTTCCACTCACCATGTCCAACCTGGCTATGGCCACTGCTGAGTGCCCAATCTGCCACCAACAGAGGGCAACACTGAGCCCCCGATATGGCACCATTCCCTGGGGTGAGAAGCCAGCTACCTGTGGCAGGTTGATTACATTGGACCACTTCCGACACGGAAGGTGCAGTGTTTTGTCCTTACTGGAATAAGTACTCTGGATATAGCTTTGTCTTCCCTGCATGCCATGCGTCTGCCAAAACTACCATCCATGGGCCTAGAGAATGCCTTCTCCACTGTCATGGTATTCCGCACAGCAGTGCTTCTGATCAAGGAACTCACTTCACAGCAAAAGAAGTGCGGTAAAAGGCCCGTGCTCATGGAATTCTCTGGTCTTACCGTGTCCCCCACCATCCTGAAGCAGCTAGCTATATAGAATGGCTTTTGAAGATTCAGTTACAGTGCCAGCTAGGTGGCAGTACCTTCAGGGCTGGGACAGGGTTCTCCAGGAGGCTGCCTGTGCTCTGACTCAGCGTGTAGTCTATGCTGCTGTTTCTCCCATAGCCCGGATTCACAGGCCCAGGAGTCAAGGGGAGGAAATGGGAGTGGCACCATTGGCTATTACCCCTAGTGACCCACTAGCAAAATTTTTGCTTCCTGTTCCCATGACTTTATGCTCTGCTGGCCTAGACGTCTTGGTTCCAGAGGGTGGAACGCTTCCACCAGGAGACCTAACAATGATTCTGTTAAACCGGAAGTTAAGACTGCCACCTGGCCACTTTGAGTTCCTCCTGCCTCTTAGTCAACAGGCAAAGAAGGGAGGTCCTGTGCTGGCTGGGCTGATTGGTCCTGACTACCGAGGGGAAATTGGGCTGCTTCTCCACAATGGAGGCAAGGAAGATCATGTCAGGAATACAGGAGATCCCTTAGGACAGGTCGTAGTATTACCATGCCCTGTGAGTAAGTGGAAAACCACAACAACCCAGTCCAGGCAGGACTGCTAATGGTTCAGACCCTTCAGGAATGAAGGTTCGGGTTACCTTAGCAGGTAAAGAACCTCAATCAGCAGAAGGCCAAGGGAATACAGAATGGATAGTAAAAGAAGGAGGAGGTAGTTATAAATACCAGCTATGACCATGTGACTAGTTACAGAAACAAGGACTGTAATTATCATGAGTATTTCCTCCTTATTTTGTTATAAATATGTGTATGTGTAGCTTTCTGTCTCATATATCAAATATATATCTTAAATATCTTTGTTTTCTTCCCTCTCTTATTCTCTTACCACGTAACGTGAGATGTATTGACCTTATAGCATAGTACTTAAGTATTGTTGATTTGACATCATAGTATTTAGGTGGAATTATGTTACAGTTAATGTCTTTCTTTGGAGATTAAGTATGATTTAAGGAGATGTGGATGAGGGCCAAGTTGACAAGGGGCGGACTTGTGATGGTTAATTTCATGGGTCACCCTGACTGACCATGGAGTGCCTCGGTGAGGCATTATTTCTGGTGTGTCTGAGGGCGTTTCCCAATGAGATGGGCGTTTGCATCTGTGGACTCGGTAAATGGAAGAGCCTCCCCAATGAGGGTGGGTATCGTCCAATCCGTTGAGGGCCTGAGTAGAACAAAAGGCAGAGGAAAGGGTAACTTGCCCCTTTTTTCTCCCTCGCAGATTGAGCTGGGACAGCTCGTCTTTCTTTCTCCTGCCCTCGGCCTGGGCTTTACGCCATCGGCTGCCCCGGTTCTCAGGCTTTTGACTCGGACTGAATTACATTGCTGGCTTTCCTGGTCTCCAGCTTACAAATGGCAGATCATGGGACTGCTTCGCCTCCATGATTGCATGAACTAATTCCTCATAATAAATCCATATAGATATAGAGATCTGATTGGTTCTGTTTCTCTGGAGAAGCCTGACTCATATACTGCCCCTTCTCCACAATACATCTCCAGTCCCTCTCTATCCTCAGACACTTCTCTGCCACTCCATGGCCATCTTTCTGGTCCAGGACACCATTAGTTCTCCCCGGGCCACCTGGTCCAGCCTCTAGGTAGCCTGCCAACTGGATAATCTTCATTCCTGTGCCTAAGACCCTTCAAAGGCTTCTCACTGCACTAGGAATACAATTCAAATTTCTTGCCTCGACTGTTAGGCTGTCTGCCCTGCCCACCCCGCCTTCCTCTCCTCCCACTCATCTCTCACGCTCTCCTCTCTAACCGCGTGACTCCTTTGGGCTCCTTGAACACTTTGCACTTGCCCTTCCCTCCTCCTTGACCACCAGCTGAAGTGGCCCCTCCCATGTTCTCTGGCTCCTTGCCTGTTTATTGCCCTCCCGGCTCTCATCTGTCTACGCTTGCTTGTTTCTATGTGTTTTTGTCTGTTACCTGTCTCCCCTACTAGAATGCAGCTCCTTGAAGGCTCAGCCTTGTCTGCACTGTTTGCTGTGGTTTGTCCTCTTTCCTAGCAAATGTAGAAGGCGCTCGATAAACGTTGCTCAAATGGGTGAGTGGAGAATGTGGCGATGTAGTAGAGGACTTGTGACAAACACCGGTGCAGATGAGAGGGGAAGTGTGTGAATGATCCGGTGGGTCAGCCACACACACCATGGGATGCCTGCTGGCTCAGATCCCAAACAGGCCCTTGAGATCTTGCAGTGCAACTTAGTGTGAGAGCAAATATCACGAATCTGACATTCCAAATAAGTACCCTAGTTGTATGAGCCATGTGTGGTTTCCTATGCCAAAAATCGTAAAATGAATAGCACATGTTTACTGAGTGTTTACTATGCACTCAGCTTTGCCTGTGTAATAAACAACAGAATCTCAGGGGTGTGCAGCTCACACATCTACAGGTCACCCGGGGTTTGCCTGATCTGTGGGGGGCTTGGCTGGGTTGGGCTGGGCTCCGACTGCAGGCTGGGTCCAGGTCTGCTCTCTGAGTTGCTCACCCACCTTATGCTAGCTGGTTCCGAGCCAAGGCAGGGGCTCAAGAGGGCAGTGCCAGTCATGCGGGCACATTTCGAGCCATTGCTAACATCTCGTTGGCCAAAACAAGTGACATAGTCAAGTCCAAAGTCATGGGCAGGGAAGACCCCTCCAGGTTCCCCCGAGGCCATGGCAAAGGTGTGGATGTATAATACTACCACAGGAGCGGGGAGAAGCTGGACCAATAGTTCAGTCTTTGTCAGGTGTGTCACTTCATCCTCCAACAACCCTATAAGAGATATTATTATTCTATTACTATTATATTATTATATATTATACCATATACCATAGTATATGGTATACTATATGCTATATACTAATATATAGTATAGTAGATGTAAGTGTAGTATAACACATGTATAGTATAATATATGTATAGTATACTGTATGGAACATATACACTATAATATATGTAAATATTATATATAATATATAGTGTATATAATATAGTATTTAATTTATTATATAGTATACTAGTATATAGTAAAGCATAATACATTTAAGTATATATTACCTATTATACTATATAGTTTAGTATACTATTATATATAGTATAATATAATATGCAATTATATAGTATACTACGTACTAGTATATACAGTATAGTATACTATATAGAATACCATAGTATAATATGTCTAAGTATATATTATGCTGTACTACTACTAATATATATATTTTATATTATATTATTATGAAATTATCCTACAAGGTCTTATTATTATTATCCTCTTTTGGCAGATAAAGCAGCTAGGACTTCAGAGGTGAGGGTCACGCAGGGTCACGCAGTTAGAGGCAGGGGACCCAGGCTGTCGGACTCCAGAGCTGAATCGCAGCCTTGTGCTCCCTTCATCGTTTTGGTAAGAGAAGCAAGCGCCTCTCAGTTGGGATGCAGGAAATGCCACATGCTGGTGTCCTTCCATCTCAGGCAGATTCTTCACTCTCCCTACCTCCTGGCACCCTAGGGCGTCCCTCGTCTGGTCTTTGTATCAGGCCCTCTTTCCTTCCCATTCAAGTGTGCACACCCAGCTTCCTTCTCTCAAGGTCTCTAACACCCTTGGGAGTCAAAGGCTGCTAATGACTTACCCAAGAGATAATTTTCTTGCATTTTCGAGACCCCCAAATCCAAAGGCTTGAGCGATGTGGGAATTTTAGACTCCAGATGGACTCATGGCAGAGGCGGTGGGAGACAAGGAAGCTTGTCAGGGTCCTTTAATCACTTGGAGATGGGAAGCTTATTTACAGGCTGGGCCTGGAACACTTTTAACAGAGTCAGGATTTCCCAGGCATTTAGTTCCTGTTAATCCTGGAGAGAGAGAGGGAGGGCTTGAGAGGACAGAGAGCAAGAACCCTCAAGATTGGTGCTGTGGGTCGCCATACATAGATGTGTGCTTACATAAAGGCATTCCATGCTGCGCAGAGGACAGAGCTCCTGCCGAGGCTCCACTGCAATTACGATGGAACGTTGCAACTCCCTCATTTGGCACGTCTTCTAACCCGAAGTCATTCTGCACAGGACAGGCTGGTGGGAAAGGGCTCTGCACGGAGGACTTAATATGCCATGCCCCGTTCTGTGTGTATCTGTGCTTGTGTGTTTATAGAAAAATTCAATACTTAATTGTATGCTTGGCCTGCTCACCACTAATTTCCTCAAGAGACATTCCAAAGCCTTGGTTAGATTCGCTCATATCTCGTAAAAGCCATAACTTGACTGCGGGTACCCAGAACTAATCCTGTATGGAGACAGGGGCAGCAGTCACCTGGCGGGTTTGAAGTTCTGGAAGGCCCACTGTCCTAAGAATGACTGGTCACCTCCCCAGCGTCCATTTCCCTTCCTCCTTCCTAAAAGCGTCCCAAATTTCCCAGCATGTGGTTTGAGTGGCCCCACTCCCAGATCCAGAAGTGGACCTCGATTGGTTGAAGGCAGTTAGCCTAATTCTTGCTACACTGAATGGATTCAGGAGTGGGAATGTGGTGTGAGCAGTTCCAACAGAGGAAGCCCAAGAGTTCTTTGAGGGTTGTGGGGAAGAGAAACTCTCTCCCCTGTGAGATATAAATGAGGAAGATGAACCCAGTTAGCTCTCTTGTGACCATGAGAGGAACTGGCCTTAGGATGAAGCTGACACAGAGCAATGGAAGGAAATGGATGCTGAGCAACATTGTTCAGCTACTGGATCAGACTGTACCTGAAGCCTTTCCTACCTCCAAAATCTTTTGTTCCCTCTCAAGGTTGGGTTGGGTTTTGTTTCTTGGAACCACAATAACCTATACTAATAACCTATACTAAAACACCCACCCAGCCAAAGCTTTGTCCTTTCCCAGCTGCTCTGGTACTGGAAACATCCACTAATAGAATCACTGCTCTGGGACAAATCATGGTGCCCAAAAGACCTCAGGAAGCACTTTGGTGCGTTACCTTGGAACTCCCACTCATCCCAGGAAGAGGTTCTAGTCTCATGGAGGAGACAGATGTGTCATGTCCTGACAAGATGGTGCAGAGAATGCTAGGCTGGAGCATGAATACGCGTGCACGGAGTGAGTGATGACTCCAGAGCCCAATCTGAGCCCCATGCTGCCTCCCATTATTTCTATAAAAGAAGCAAATCGCCTCCAAATTGGGATGTGCATGCTGCCCAGAGGACTCTGGGAAGGTTTTAACTAACAATATTTGTGGCGCACCCTGCACCCACCAAGCGCTGTTCTGGATGGTGGAGGTACCATAGTTTTAGTCAGCTCGGGCTGCTGTTAAAAAATACCATTGACTGTGGGGCTTCAACAGTAGACATTATTTCTCACAGTTCTGAAGGCTGGGAGGTCCAAGTTCAAGGTGCTGGCCAGTTTTGTTCTTGGTGAGGGCTCTCTTGCAGGTGGCTGCCTTCTTGCTGGGTCCTCACATGGTAGAGAGAGAGAAAGAGAAACTCTCTAGTCTCTTCCTTTGAGGACACTAGTCCCATCGTGAGGACCCCAGCCTCATGACCTCATCTAAACTAATTACCATAGGCCCCACCTCCAAAAACTATCATCTTGGGGGTTAGGGCTTCAACGTATCAATTTAGAGGGGACACAAATGTTCAGTCCATGACACACAACAAGCAAAACAAAGCCCCTGCGTCATGGGTCTTCCATTCTGGTAAAAGAGGCAGAAAATAATAAGCAAGGTACAGTCGATGATGGAGGAGAATAGAAATGCTATGAAGAACAATCAGGCAAAGCGAGGGGGAGAGAGGGTAGCGGGAGCAGAGGGAAGACCTGTGTTAGGAGCTGATGGTGGAGAAAAGACCTGAGAGGAAGTGAGTGGGTGAACCATGGAGCCACGAGGGGGAGATGCTCCAGGCAGAGCAAAGAGCAAGGACAAAGGCCTGGGATGAGGCAGGGGGGCAGAGCAGAGGGAGTGAGGGGCAAGGGGCAGAAGATGAGGTCAGAGAGTTAGGGGGGACCATGTCCTAGGGGTCTCCTGGGGCATGGTGAGGACCTCTGAGTTCCTCCACTGAGGGCGTATGGAGGGTTTTAAGGCATGCCACGATTTGACATATGGCTGCTACATGGAGAACGGCCTCTAGAGAGGTTAGTGGGTTGGATGGTGGTCCTCAAAAAGATATGTCCACATCCTAATTCCCAGGACCTGGGACTGTGATCTTGCTTGGAAAAAGGGTCTTTGCAGATGTAATTAAGTTAAGGATCTCGAGATGAGGTCATCCTGGATTATCTGGGTGGGAACCTAATCCGGAGACAATGTTTTATACGAGACAGAAGAAGAGAAGACGTAGACACGGTGGAAGAGGCCCTGTGAAAACGGAGGCAGAGATTAGAAGCTGCAGCCACAAGCCAAGGGGTAGTGGAGGCAGCAGAAGCCGTAGGAGGCGAGGAATGAGTGTCTCCTGAAGCCTTTGGAGGAAGCACGGGCAGGCCAACACCTTGAATTTGGACTTTGGACTTCCGGCTTCTGGAATCGTGAGATAATAAGTTTCTGTTGTTTTAAGCCACCAAATCTGAGGATACTTGTTAGTGCAGACCTAAGAAACTAACGCAGGAGGCAAGAGTGAAGCAGGGAATCTGGAAATAGTCTATGGCGATAATCCAAGTGAGGAACGAAGCTGCCTTGGCCTTGGGTGGGAGCTGTGAAGGGGCAAGAGGTCATGGTGTTGTGAAGGTCGCCTTTGCTGAGGGACTAGATGTGGGGGGTGAGAGACAGAGGAGTCAAGGAGGACTCCAAGAGTTTTGGCCTGAGTAACTATAGAATGAGAAGGACATCTTCTGAAAGGGGAAAGACTGGGAGAATCGGGTTTCTGTGTGTGGGAAGGTCAGGAGTTCAGGATGCCTGTTAGATGCCGCCCAGCTGGCCATGTCAAGTAGGTAGTTGGATATTTGAGCTTGTCAGCTGGACTGGAAATCTAAATCTGGGAGTCAGGGGCAGATAGATGGATCTCAAAGCCAAGAGCCTGGATGAGCACACCCAGGAGTGAGAGCAGACACGGAGGAGGAGCGGATGGAGCTCTTGGACACACCTGTGTTACGAGGCCAGGGAGGCAAGAAGGAACCGAGAAGGCGGCTGAGAAGGGACAGCTGGAGAGAAGGGGGGAAAACCTGGCGAGCGTGGTATCGTGGAAGTCAGGTGAAGAAGTACAGGTCAACTCAAGACGAATTGACTGTCACAGCAATTTTATAATTCAGTAAGCAAAATAAAAATTGTATTGCCCAAGAATCTTGGTTTGTACCTCTTCTTCCTCCCAACCTTGCAGACGTGAAGAGATGTATCATGGCTCCACTTGAATCATCCAACTGTGGCATGCTCCACACATCTGGGATAAATGCCTTCCAGGACCAACATGGGCCCTAGGTCATGAGGGCGCATATTGGGCATTTGTAAGATGATAGAAAGAACGATGATAGTTCCTTGAAGAATAGGTTTTGACTACCTGTTTATACATAATCCAGTTATTGAGTAATACATTTGTGCAAGCATTTGGTTCTTTCTGGATCATGCTGTATTCTAGGAGGGGGGTGTGGTCATCTGTAAATGCTGCTGGTAGGTCAAGGCAGCGAGGGCTGGCCATTGACCTCTGGATTGAGCACCACAGGGGTCTTTGGTGGCCTTGGGAGGAGCCATTTCAGGGGGGTGGTGAGGCTGAGAGCCTGACTAGGATGCATTAAGAGAGACTAGGAAGAGAAACCGACAGTTTGAGTTCAGTTAATGTTTCAGAAAATCTACTCTGTGAAGGAGAACAAAGAAATATGGAGGTAGCTGCAGAGGAATGGGGGGTCAAAGTAGTTGAAAAATATTTTTGATGACAGAAGAGAGAGCGGCGAGTTTGTAAGATGGTGGGATAGATTCGGTGGAGAGAGACAAACCCGTACATAATACAGGAGCCGGGGGCGTTAATTGCTGGAGTCATGCGCTGGAGGAGGTGAGAGGTGGGGGCACCCAGGGCCTAGGGGAGGCGCTGGCCTTTGCAAAGAGCCCACTCAGTGACAGAGGAAGGTAGGAAGATGGGACAGCTGCAGCCAGGAGCATAGATCCAGTGGGGTTGCATGCGGAAGTCCTCCTCTGACTGCTCCCATTACCTACGGAGTGAAAAAGCAAGAGGGGGAGAAAGAAGGAGGAAGTGTTACAAGTTGGAGGAGAAGGTACTGAGGTTCGTTCCCAGGCAGGCGGGGAGGAGCTGACCAGGGAAATGGAGGATTGCTGGGTAGGGCCGAGGGGTATTTGAGGATGTGGTTGTGAGGCCCAGCAGGCAGCACAGCTGGGTGTGTTTCTCCAGCCGTGTGCAGCTACAAGGAGCAGCCCTGGGATAGGTGGAAAGTTGGGCTTAATTAGGGGTGGGTTCTGGTGGGCAAGATTGAGGAAGGAGCCACGGGCACTGGGATTGAGGTTGTGTGAAAGGGGGCATAGACCCTAGATTCTAAGCAGGCAAGTGGGCAGGTTCTGTTGGTGCTGGGTCAATAATGGAAGTTTTGATGGGTTTTTAAGATTAGAGTTGGCTTCCTAGAGGATGTGAACCGGAAGGACAGGAGACAGTGTTCTGTGGATGGGGTGCCTGAAGTTGGGCTCATACCGAGAATGGAGTGTTGTTAGGCCTCTCAGGGTGGCCGTAACAGTCTTCAAGGAGCGGGAGTGGGTAGAGGATGCTGCCTTCCCTGGGGGCAAGTAGGTGGAGTGGCTAAGAAGCTGGACTCTGGTGCCAGCTCCCTGAGTTTGAGTCTTATCCATGTAATCTTTGGCAAACTACTTAACCTCTCTGTGCCTCAGTTTCCTCATTTGCGAAGTGAGGATTTCATCATACTTACCTCATGGGGTTTTGTGAGGTTTAAGTAAATTGGTAGCTGTAAAGGGCAACAGGGTTGGAGCAGGGAGGGGCTGTGAGCCTCCAGGCCAGTGAGCCTTTTCAGGGAAGTAGGAGAGAAAAAGGCCTGAATGTGGGGAGGAGGATGTCTCCTCCATTTCTGGGCCAGGGGCACAAGGAGCTGGGAAAGAGAAGAGCCACCCTTGAGCAGACAGCAGAGGAAGCCGAGTTTTCGGGAGACAACTGGGTTTAAGTCATGGGATGGTGGAGAGAAGATCCAGGGAAGAGGTTGAGAATAGAGAGTTCTGCTGAGAACGGACTGAGGAAGCACAGGACCTGTAGAAAGGCTGGGACATTGGGGAGGACTAGTAAGCTTGGGTCACAGCAGGTGTGTACAGAGCTCTTTGGGGATGAAAGGTCAGGTGATGTGGGGGTGGCTGGGAGCCATGCGCCCTGGGGCAGTGGCTGAGGCATCATGGAATTGGTCTTGAAGATTTCTTAGACTGTGGTGAGAGTGTTGGTACGTGTGTGGTGGTGGCAGGCGTGCTGCCTTGCCAAGAGCAGGGGGAGCTCTGGGGTCCCTGCTCGGGAACACAGATGACACTGTTGAGCCTTGCCATGGGGAGACTGTGGAGCTGAGCAAAGGGTGAGCATGTACCTGGAGCTGGAGTCAAAGGTCCCTGGGGCTGGGCAGGGGGATGGGGAGGACTAGAGCGAGGACTGACGGACTGATGGGGGCCCACATGCAATTTTTACAATGCAGATCTTTAGCCTGAGAGTCAGATCTATGTTTTACAAAGATCAGCCAGGATGACGGTGGGCAGTGGATGATAGGACAAGGAGAAATCCATCCGTATCAAAGGGGCCGGTCAAGGGACTGTTGTAATGGGCTAGGCAGCAGATAATGAAGACAAGAAATCAGTGGGTGGAGATGACTGGAGGATGGAGGGTTGGGGAGCACATCCAAAAGAAATTTCAGGATCTATTCCCTGGAGATACTCAGAAATCCCTGAGCAAACAGGGCCCGGTAGGGTCATTGGAACCCAAAGTTGCTGCTAGGAAGCAGAAAAGCAGGCAAGGAACGTGGAAAGCTGGCTCTCGGTGGGGGCCCCTCACCCCATCAGTCATTTGCCACCTTTAATGAGTCTCCTGAGCTTTCCAGAGGCTCGGTTTCCCTAACTATTCCACTCACACAGGAAGAATGTATCCAGCTTCCCCTGGCTTTTCAGCAGTGGAAAGTGAGTGCGTGGGATCTTGTCGTGCATGTAAGCGCTTCAGTGAAAGGAGGCTTCCATTTGCCTGGTGGGAGTCGTGCCGGACCACTTCCATGCCCATTATCTCATCTCATGCTCCCAACTGTGTCCGTCAGTTGAGGCAGATGATGATGGTGACGACCAAGGTGATGGTGAAGACAGGTAACGTGCATAGTGTGCTTATTGAAACCAGTTGCTGTACTGAGCGTTTGCCATCGTGGTCTTACTTGATTCTGGCAGCAATCCCTGGAGGCACGTGGTATTCCCATCTCCATTTTAAAGATGAGGAACCTAAGGCGTGGAGAGGTTAAGCAAGTTTCCTGAAGTTGTACACTTAGGAAGGACCTGGAACTGGGTTTTGAACTCAGGCAGTAAGTTGACACCACGGTCAGTTAACCGTTTCTGTCATATGTCAAGGGTGGGAGTGTCGTCATTCTTGCATTAGGTGAAGGGTTGGCAGGCCCAATCCAGCCCCCTGATTGTTTTGTAAATAAAGTTTTATTGGAATCCAGCCGTGCCCATTCACTTATGTATCGTCTGTGGCTGTTTTCATGCTGTGGTGGCAGAGTTGAGTGTTCACGACACATCACGTGACTCTCGAAGGCCAAAATATTTACCATATGGCCCTTCACAGAAAGTTTGCCGAGCGAGCCCTGCACTGGACTATTCTTTTTGTTTTTTTTGTCTGTTTCTTCTTCTTCTTCCTACCTGTTTTTTTCTCTTTCTCCCAGCCATACAATAATACATAAAATATAAAAGTAAAGGAAGATAATTCCTAATGAAGCCTGCTGTTTTCATGGGCATTTTTCCAATGCCAAGTTGAGAAGGAAAGAGCAGTTAATGTATCAGCAGATGGGTTTTTTGATGAGATCCTCTCTTAAAGTAATGCCAAGGACAAAGAGTGACACTAAATTCTCATCAAGTATTTATAATGTATCTACTATGGCATTTCTCCCGTCTGTAAAGTGAAGGGGTTGAAATGAGATAATCCAGATTAAGGCCCCACCTATCTCTAACACATTCTAAGCTGTCCTTTTAGAAACCCCCTGTCTCCAAGCAGATGTGGTGTGTACACAAGTGGAGCACAGCCAAACGTGCCAGGGAAGGGACCTCCTTTCTGGAGATCAGCTACATAAAGTGGGCTCATGCCATAAACATACAGGTCCTGGGTCTCAGGAAATGTGTTTGGCTCTTTCAGCCACAGCATCCTCTCCTGACACGCTTGGCAAAACCAAACCCAGCTTGAGGTCGCCAGCAACCATTGGGCATCCCATGTGAGGACTCAGACAAGGAGTTGTAGTGTCACCTCCCGGCCACTAGAGGACTTCATCCTATTTAAGCGGAGGAAGCCTTGTTCAGCGCCTTTCTGCCCTGGGGATGGTTTGCTCATCTTCCTTTCACTTCGCTCGCGGTGGCCTCACCTGTGGCTGCTTCATGAGCTGTAAAGCGTCTGAGGGTGTTTATGCCAGCCAGCCAGTGCTGGACTGCTGAGGAGTTCGCCCCCAGCCTGCTTGATGGGAGACAGCTCCGGAGTTATTCTTTGGATCACAAATCCATCTCTTTGCAGCTTCCACCATTTGGGTCCCTCTGAACATGAGATTTGTCCTGCTTCTGTATCATAGTCCCTTCCAAGATGCGCCCCGGTGGAGAAGGCACAGTGAAATGGCTTGTATTGAAGGCCTGTTTCCCTGGCACTGACCGTGTATGAGGCACCATTCTAAGCGCTTTACAAACATTATCTTACTTAGTCCCCAGGACCGCCCTATGAGACACATGCTGTTCTTAGCTCCATTTTACAGATGGGGAGACTGAGTCACAGCATAGACAAGGAACTCGCAGAGTCAGGCAGCCCTGAAGTGGTAGGGCTGGGATTTGAACCCAGGCCGTGAAAGCTCAGGAGCTCATACTTGTAACCAGCAGGCTCTGCTCTGCTCCCTCCCAGGAGAGGAGCCAGATAAACAATGACATATTTTAAAAAACATTTTAACCTATTTTTTTCATCATAAGTACATAACAGAAAATGTGGAAAATCAAAAGAAAAAAATCACCCAGAATATTACCACACCACCACAATCGCAGCGAGCTGTCTGGTGTTTCTGCTTTCATTTTTTATGTCCCATGTGCTTTTTCATATCTCTGTGCATGCAACTTGTATCCTGTTTTTCCACTTCACGTGTAATGGCCTAATGTTATTACATAGTTTTTGTAACTACTATTTTAAATATTGTAAGAATATGTGTATGTGGTGATACGATGGAAGTTCTAGGGGACCTGGGAGATGAGAATGTCCAAAGAAGGGAGGGAGCAGGACACACTGTCAGGCGGGGATGCAGAATGCCGTGGGCTCACGGGACGACAGCAGAGGACACTGCGGTGACACGTGTGTCAGTGGCGCCGAGCCAGGAGGTGGCAGCTGGCGGTCCAGTGCCTCGCAGCATTTGGAGACTAAAAACAGCTCCGTAAGGTGACAACACGTGGCAAGGGCCCCGTGGGGAGAGACAGGACTTGTGCTCCCTGGAGTGTCTTGTACTAGCGTGGATTCAGAGAAGCCTCGAGTGCTAGTTCCAGCTCTGTTAGCTGCGTGGCCTTGGATGCATCAGTTCACTTCTCTGGGTATCAGTTTGCTTAACTATTTCGTGGCAACAATAACAGTTCCCATGAAGGGTCTTGGGAAAAATGATATGTTTGTCAGTTAGTGGTACTTTTGGCTTCAAGTGACAGAAAACCAAATTTATAGTGGATCAAGTGATAAAAACTTAATTAGCTCATGTAAGAAGCTTGGAGGAAGTTGTCCAGAGCCAGTGCGGGGGCTCAGCAGTGTCACGAGGGAACCCAGACTTTTCTCTCTACAATCCGTCATCCTTAGGGCGTTGGTTGGATTTCTGTCTTTTGAGTATAATTGTTTCAGTGACCAGGTCTGTGGTGGAGTGGTCGACCCTTCCTTACAGAAGCCCAGCGTCAAAGAGACCCTCCTGTTCTGCCGTGCTCAGAACTACTTCCAACACCATTGTCTTAGTCTGCTCAGCTGCTGTAACAAAATACTACAGACTGGGTGCTTAAACAACAGATTTATTTCTCATAGTTTTGGCAGCCAGGAAGTCCGAGATCAAAGAGTTGGCAGATTCAGCTCTGGGTGAGAGCCCGCTTCCTGGCCTGCAGATGGCTGCCGTCTTGCTGTGTTCTCACATGGCAGAGAGACACGAGAGCACTAACCCATCATGGGGGTTCGACTCTCATGACCTCATTTAACCCTAACCAAAGGCCCCGCCTCCTGACACCATCACACTGGGGGTTAGGCATTCAACATGTGACTTTTGGGAGACATAAGCATTCCGTCCATAATAACCATCCACTGTGTCTTTGTTATATCCTGGGACCATGCATCGTGACTTCTGCAGGTCTGTCAAGGGCTCTAGATTCCTGGGCTGTCTCAGATGGTCCCTCTCTGCAGAAAATGCATTCCTTCTCATTGGCTCTGCAGGCAGAAGTTTGTACCTTTAAACCAGTTGTCACAATTGTTGCTTATCTTGTTGTGTGATGATTTGATGAATGCTGGTCTCCTCCACTAGCCTGTGAGTCCTGTGAAGTCAGAAATGGTGTCCATTTTGTCCACGGTTCTGTTCCAGAGCCCAGCACAGTGCCTGGTGGAGAGAAGGTGGGCAGTATCTGTGTGTCGAATGAGTGAGTGAGCGTCTTCCTCAGCTGAGCTCTGGTTAGTGTTCTGTATGCATTTGTGGGCTGTCACAGACTTGTTCTCACAAGTCCTCTCCCTGACCACTAAGGACACATTTTAGAAGCCACTCTGTGATCTCACGGTGGGTAGTGACAGATTCTACGGCAGATGCTGTTGATGCTTGTTCTGTGTCCACCTGGGCTGCTTGAGTTCACCTGCAGCTGTGGTTGACAGTTTCCTGCACACTCACACATCGCCGTCTCAGCTACCTGGGGGCTTTACTTTACTTTTGAGGCTGTTGGGATGTGATGAATGTACTTTGTATGCGAGAAGGACGTGAATTTTGGGGGGTCAGGGGCAGAATGTTATGGACTAAATGCTTGTGTCCCTCCCGAATTCATGTATTGAAGTCCTAATCCCCCATGAGATGATACTTAGAGGTGGGGCCTTTGGAAGGAATTAGTCTAGATGAGGTCATGACAGTGGGGTCCTCAGGGTGGGATTAGTGACATTATAAGAAGAGGAGGAGAGACCAGAGCTCTCTGTCTCTCCACCCTGTGAGGACACAGCAAGAAGGCAGCTGTCTACAAGCCAGGAACCCAGCCCTCATCATGAACTAAGTGTGCTGACTCCTTAATCTTGGACTTCCAGCCTCCAGAACTGTGAGAAATAAATGCCTGCTCCTGGAGCCACCCAGTCTGTGGTAATGTGTCATAGCAGCCCCAGCAGACTGAGACACTGTGTCTAAGACCCTGTCTGAAAATCGTTGACCTTCCAGCCACTGAAGGTGGGATCTGTGTCCCCTCCCCTTTGACCTGGAGTGAGACTTACTGGTACCTATTAGGACGCCGTAGTTGTGATATTGTCAGTGGTGTTTAAAAATGTCCCCAAATTATAATTATCTGTTACTCCCTACAAAGTGGAGCCTAGCGTCCCTTCCCTTGAGCATGGGCTGGATTTAGTGACTCACTTTTAACAAAGAGAATTAATTGGAAGTGACAGAGTGTGGCTAGGTCATAAAGGATCCTGCAGCTGCCTGGTCTCTGTCTCTCTCTGTCTCTCTTCCTCCCTCTCTCCCTCTCTCTGATCTCTCCAGGGAGGTCGGCTGCCATGCTTTCAGGACACTCTGGCAATCCATGAAGAGAGCCATGAGGTGAGGACCTGAGGCCTGCTGTCGACAGCCGTATGCGTGAGTCTTGGAAGAGATCCTCCAGCATCTGTCGAGCCTTCCAGTGATGGCAGCCCTCGCTGGTGCCTTGAGCACTCTCTCACAAGTGGCCTTGAGTCAGAGGCATCCTGCTAAGCCACTCCTGAATTCCTGACCACAGACACTGTAAGATCATTCAGGTTTGGTGTTTTAAGCCGTTAAGCTTTGGGGTGATTTGTTACACAGCAATAGATAACTAAATACCTTGTGTGATTTCCAAACCTGGGTCAAAAAGCCCATGAGTTTCTGCCTGGTCTCTCCCCTTGAATCTGGGCCAAATCTGGGCCCTTGAATCTTAGTGATTGGCTTATAATTGATACAGTAATAGTGATGCTGTAACTTCAAGGTTGGGTTAGAAAAGGTCATGTAGCTTCTGCTTAGTACTTTTGGGAGTACTTTTGGGAGTATTTGCTTGAGGAGGAACCAGCCACGGTTTAGTGTGTCGGAATACCCTGTGACTGCCATGCAGGAGAGGCCACGTGTGGGTGTTCCGGCAGGCCTGCTGAGCTCCCCACAGACAGCCAACAACTGTCAGCCATGTGAGTGGATGGTCCAGGACGTCCAGCCCAGCCAGACCTCCAGATGACTCCAGCCCTAGCCGACATGTGGCTGCAACAAGTAAGAGACGCTATGCGAGAACCATCCAGCTGAGCCTTCCTGGGGTCTAGACCCGTGAATCAGAAGCTAAGTCAGTTTGTCACACAGCAGTAGCAACTTGAACAGGCAACTTTTGGAGGAAACCAAGCGAGGAGGGCTCGTATGCTGTCTCTGACTGCGGCCTTTTTGCCCATGAAAACATCAGCCTTTATGAGAGGTGCCCCAAAGGGGCTTTCCCACGCACTCCAGTTATAAGGCAAACCCACCTCAAAGTGAAAAGTATTATGTACCACTACACAAATACACGTCCCATAAAGCAAAGTAGAAGTGAAAATAAAAATAACCAGAAGTGTGAGAGGTCAGTGAGGGTCAGGTTCTCTCTCTTGGGTGGGTACTCTCTGTCTTGGAGACCTCTGATCTAGCACGTACCTCTCAGTTCAGAGATGGAGGCAAACGACTTTGACCTACGATAGACAATCCCACTGCTTTCATTCGGCAGTTGGTTTTTTGGGGTGATATATATTTCTAATTGGTTTTTCTATTAAAAAATATTTTTGTAATAGAAATTCATGTACATGGTAAAAGTTCAAACTCTACAGAAAAAAGTTTGAAGTGAAAGATGAGCCTCTCTCCCTCTTCCAATAGTGTTAGGGTTGAATTGAGCTCCCCCAGTTCATATGTTGGAGTCCTAACCCCCAGAACCTCAGAATGTGACCTTAGTTGGAGACAGAGTCTTTACAGAGGCAATTAAGTCCAAGTGGGGTCATTAGGGTGGGCCCTAATCCAGTATGACTGATGTCCTTATAAAAGGGGACATTTGGACACGGAGACGCGTAGAGGGAAGCCTGTGTGAAAAGATGAAGAGAGAAGATGGCACCTACAAGCCCAGGAGAGCCCAGAAACAGAGCCTTCCCTCACGGCCCTCGGAAAGAGCCGGCCCTGCCCAGACCTCGGTCCCAGACTTCTCGCCTCCAAACGGTGAGACGATACATTTCTGTCGTTTAAGCCACTCAGATGGTGGCACTTTGTTATGACATCTCTAGAAAACTAATATAAACAGTTTCTTATGCGTCCTTCCAAAAAAAAGTCTGCAGTACCCACGTATGTGTGTGTTATTTTTTTCTTACGTAAATGGACCCTTTAATAATGCGTTTCTATCCCTGGATCTCTGCATTTTCTAATTTCTTGTGGTAATCTTTTCATATGGGCCCGTTCGGCTCTAGTTAGTTCCTTTTAACAGCTGCATAGTATTCTGAGAGTGGAGAAACCACACTTTATTTCCACTCTTGTGTTAATGGACAGCTCGTGTACTTTGACTAAGCCCCTGGGTCCATCGGATGCCTGAGCCTTAAGCGCAGGCTGGTTGCTGAAGGACAGAAGCACAGCGGGTGTTCAGGACCCACAGGTGGGGGAGCAGCAGGGAACAGATCTCTGGGTTATTTGCCGCTTCCGTCACACTACCGTAACCCATCCTTCGGGCCTCAGCTGAGAGCTCCGCGTGCCGCGTCTCAGGGCCCAGGGCTTCTCTGTGCTCTTAGCAGACTCGCGATTTTCCACCAGTCTGTGTGATTTTCTGAATCTCTCCCTTGCTCCCCAACCCTCTGACCTTGCTCTTCGGGGTGTCCTGGCACCTCGCACGTCATCCTGCTTGACGGCAGCAGGCTCTCTGTTTATTGAATGAGGGGATCTTTGTAAAGCGTGAAGTATCAGACGGACTCATAATGGGGTTGCTGCAGCAGAAAAGCAGCTCCCCAGTGACTTAGAAACAGCATGAGATCGGATCATGCGAACTTCCTTGAGGTCAGAGGTCTTGCCAGACTCCATCTGCTGAGCCCCCTCATGCCCCTGTCTGTCATTTGGCCCTTGCCTTCTGCTACTTTGGACCGTTCAGAATTTGCAGTGACTACCAGCAGGGGCTTCCCACAGCTGTCCTCTGTCCTCCTGCATGGCATTGATCAGGTGTACCATTGAGAGATTGGGTTCAATGCACGTTTTAGAAACAAGGCAGTCAGTTACGGTGGAGTAACCGAGACAAGGCTGCTTAAGTGAGCGCGTCCACCGAGGAAGGTGGGGTCAGGAGTCATCGTGGCAAGAACATAAACTGAGACTCAGGAAACCGATCACTAGTCATGGGACTGGGCCAAGTTACTTAATAAGAATAAGCAAACAATAACCACAACAGCCATTAGCATTTATTGAGCACTTACTCTATGTCAGGCGCTGCGTTTCACATGTGTTCTCCAGCTTAACTCTTGTGACAACTCTGTGAAATAGATACTGTTCCCACTTCCATTCTGCACATGAGAAAAAAAAACAACAAGGCTCAAAGAGGCCAAGAGACATCCGCATGGTCATGCCCCAGGTGTGTGGCAGAGGCACGTTTGCAGTCCAGACTTGCCCACCTCAGATTTCGCAACCCTCACAGTATCCCTCTGGGGGCCTCCCCTTCCTTTTCTGAAGAGGGTAGCGTGGCACAGATCACTTCAGAGCTCCAGGTCCCCGTGACCGTGCAGCAGAATCTCTTCCTTAGAAGCTGTCGGGCCATTTGTAGCAAGGTGGTTAGGCACCAAGGGTCATGAATCTTCAGAGTGGAAGACTCCTGCCTCTGAAACATTAAGAAACGTACACACACAACTTGATACAACAGGAGACACTTACAGGAATGACCATCACAACCAGAATAACGGTAAAAATCACAACCACAATGAGGTATCACCTCACATCCATTAGGAGGGCTGCTATCAAAGACAAAACCAAAACCCAAACCAGAAAACAACGAGTGGTGGCAAGGACAGGGAGACATTGGAACCCTTGTGCACTGTTGGCGGGAATGTACGATGGTATAGTCACTGCGGAAGACGGTATGAGGGTTCTTCAAAAAATTAAATAGAATGACCGTATGATCCAGCAATTACACTTCTGGGTATGTAGCCAACAGAACTTACAGAGAGATATCAGCGCTCCCATGTTCATGGCAGCACCACGTGTAATAGCAAGATGTGGAAACAGCCTGAATGTCCATCAGGGGGTGAATAGATAAAGAAAATGTGGTATAAACATACAATGGGATCTTATTCAGCCTTAAAAAGGACGCAAATTCTGTCACCTGCTGCAACATGAATGAACCTTGAGAACACTATGCTGAGTGAAATAAGCCAGTCACAAAAGGACAAATACTGTGTGGGTCCCCTTACATGAGGTACCTGGAGGAGCCAAATGCACGGGGACAGAAAGGAGAAAGGTGGGTGCCAGGGGCTGCTGGGAGGCAGAGCTACTGTTTAATGGGGACAGAGTTGCAGTTTTGCAAGATGAAGTACTTGGGAGATCGGTAGCAAGAGAATGTGAATGTACTTGACACTGCTGAGCTGTACACTTAAAAATGGTTAAAATGGTAAATTTTATGTGACTATTATCACAATTAAAAAAAAGGATAATTAAAAAAGAATGACAGTGAAGGCTGTGTGTCCGAGGGGGTAGCATGGCCGGTCCAGAGAGCTGCGAGGGCCTTGCTGGAGCATGAGGGGCTTGCCCCTGTGGGGGAAGGTGAGTCTTGTCTCGGGGCTCTCTGAGCGACTCTCTGTTGGGCCTGTGGCCCAATCAGCTGTGACAGCTGAGCAGGGGAGCACTCCAGGACTGAGGCCACAGCCATGCCTCGCGTGAGCCCTGTGACATCTGCATGGCCCATATCATTTCAGGAACGTGAGGACTCCAAGTGGGGAGCCCTGACAGCTGGCTGGGGGTGGCCGGAAGGGGAGCACGTTCTCCAGATGGCCCTCAGCCAGCAGCCCATGGCATTTGGCCTGATGCGTGCCTTTGTGCCATTGCTTTGGAATGCGTTTAAGGGGAGAGGACCCTCTCTGACAAGATAAGTTTTTTTTGTTGTTTGTTTGTTTGATGTTTTTGGAAGGGGGATGGCTTGATTTGTTTCTTACTCTCTAAAGTTCAGAAATATCCATTTCAACTTTGTAATAATCCTGAATCCTGAGGAAGGTGGAGAAAGGAGGTGGTGGTAACATGCTGAATGTTTTTTTTCCCAAGAGAAATGAAACGTTAACCACTTGCTGAGAAAATAGTGAATGAATGCATAAGTAAATATCTGCCACGCAATATTCATGACCGACAATGGACTTTGCTGCTCTCAAATGTTTGGAATCACTGGCTCAACAAAATGGTGAAGGCCAGCAACAGAAATTCCACTGGAGGAGCATCAAAATTCTATGCTTTTTCTTAACGTTAAATTTAGACTCAAAGATGGAAGGATGGAGAGAAGCAATTGCACAGTGTGGCTAACAAAGAGAGAGTCTCAGTCAAGACCCTTTTAGTGGAGGAGGAGAAGAACCCAATTCCACCGGCTGATGAAACAAAAAGGAATTTATGGGCTCACTTCCTGAGGTGTTCAGAGTAGTATTGACTTCAGGCATGGCTGGGTCCAGGTGCTCACATAAAGTCTTTGGACATCCATCTCCATCTTTTAGACCTGGCTTTCCTCTGTGTTTGCTTTATTCTTGGACAATCTGTCTGTGCTTGGTGGCTCCAGCAGCTCTGGGCTCACATCTTACCAGAAAGAGAGTTCTTCCTTCCTAATAGTTTTTACAAAAGTCTTTCAGGTCTGGCGTAGGTCACATGTCCATCCCTGACCCACTCACTGTGGCCAGGGTGATGGAATATGCTGAACGGCCAGGCTGGGACCCTGAGTCCACACCTAGAACCAGAGAGCAGGGAGAGCCTTCCTAAACCGCAGGGCTGATAGTGAGTGGGTGGTGGCTCCCCAGAGGGGAGTCTGGGGGCTGGTGCCAGAGGAAGGGGAAGGGGACACAGGCAGGCATCCCTTCCAACAGTTGTTCACCACATGGGCCACGTGGAATAAGGCAGAAGCCGGCTCCATCCAGGATTCTGATTTATCTCCTTGGTCTCTCATCATTGAAATGTGATGTGGCCATTGATGGAGGGGCTGCTCTTCTCTCTTCTGTCCTGGGATGATTGCAGTTACCTCTTTTTTAAAAGAAAATATTTAGCGTCATTTTATTTTTTTCCAGCTTTATTGAGCTATAATTGACATATAACATTGCGTACGTTTAAGGTGTACAATGTAGTGATTTGGTGTGTGTATATATTGTGAAATGATTACCACGAGAAGGGTGGTTAACATCCATCAGCTTACATAGTTACATTTTTTTTTGATGGTGAGAACATTTAAATCTACTCTCTTAGCAAGTTTAAATATACAATACAGTATCATTAACCATAGTCACCATGCTGTATGTTAGATCCCCAGAACTCATTCATCTTACAACTGGAAGTTTGTACCCTCTGACCACCCTCACCCATTTCCCCCACCCCCTCGCCCCGGAAAACCACTAGTCTGTTTCTCTGAGTTCTATTCTTTTATCTTCCACGTATAAGTGAGATCATACAGTATTTGTCTTTCTCTGTCTGACTTATTTCACTTAGCATAATGCCCTCCAGGTTCATCCATGTTGTCTCTAATGGCAGGATTTCCCTCCTTTTCATGGCTAAATAATATTCCATCGTGTATATACCACATTTTCCTTATCCATTCATCCACTGATGGATACTTGGGTTGTCACCACGTCTTGGCTTTTGTAAGTATGCTGTGATAAACACTGGAGTGCATATGTCTCTGAGACGGTGAGTTCATTTCCTTTGGATGTATACCCAGAAGTGGGGTTGCTGGGTCGTATGGTAGTTCTATTTTAATTTTTTGAGGAATTTCCATAATTGTTTTCCATAATGGCCGCACAAATTTACATTTCAACCAAGAGTGCACAAGGATTTCCTTTTCTTTACATCCTTGCCAAAACTTGTTTTTCTTGTCTTTTTGATAATAGCCATTCTAACATGTGTGAAGTGACATCTCATTGTGGTTTTGATTTGCATTTCCCTGATGATCAGTGGTGTTGAGCACCTTTTCACCTACCTGTTGGCCATCTGTTTGTCTTCTCTGGAGAAACGTCCTT